TGTCAAAAGAGGATGACGCTATTTCACTCTGAGAAAATAACACTACAACACTGCATGGGGCGCCGCAAGGGGCGACACGACAGTGAAAATCTTGCCTGACAGGAAAAATACATGCCCGCTAATAATCTCCACAGACAAGCACCTGCGGCAGTTGAGAAGGGATAAAGGATCGAGTGGATTGTTTTTGGGTCAGCCTTCAACTCAAAATACAATGGTGAACAACGAAAAGATTATGGACCTAGCTGTGAGAGAGGCGGCTCAGCAACAGGAAGCACGGTTAGCAGTTGAAGCAGCCCGTAGAATTGTAGATAAAACAGTCGACGGGGAGCAAAAGTTCAATCCCAATCGAAACATTATCGAAGATGAATTTGAAAATGCAGCCCCTAGGCCTGGGAGGTCTCTAGGAGATTATGCCAGACCAATGTACAATCAGCAACAATCTAGTGTGAGGCCTCCACCCAATGATGCCAATAATTTTGAACTCAAACAGGGAGTCATCTAGACCATTCAGAACAATTGCATATTCAGAGGCAAACCCAATGAAGATCCCAACAACCATCTGATGGACTTCGACGAAATTATGAACACATTCTGCTACAATGGAGCATCACATGATGCTATCTACCTCAGAGCATTCCCTTTCTCACTTAAGGATAATACAAAGCAGTGGTTGAGAAGTCTATCCATAGGGTCAATCCGTACGTGGGAGGAAATGACTACCAAGTTCTTAGAAAACTATTTCTATGCTGCTAAGACTGGACGGATGAGGAAAGAGATTCACAATTTCAGCCAAGGTGAAGGGAATATAGTGTTCAAGGCATGGGAAAGATTTAAGAAGCTATTGCGGAGGTACCCTCATAACAGAATAGAGCAATGGATGCAACTCCAGGACTTCTGGGACGGGTTAAACCCGTCTTCAAGGAGATTGCTGAATAGTGCGATTGCAGGTCCTATGATGAAGAAAACTCCTGAAGAGATTGTCACACTTCTGAATGAACTATCTGAAGATGTAGAACAATGGTCCACTGACCAAGGGGATCGAAGAAAATCAACGGGAGTGCACCAAGTAGAATCGCTAGTAGCAATGCAGGCCCAAATTGCAGCTATGGCTAAGGACATCAAACAACTGACGATAGCTCAGGTGCAAAACCAACCACATGTGGGATGTGACATCTGTGGATTGGGACTTCCTATACATGAGTGTCAAGATACAGCTGAGGAAGTCAACATTGTGGGGAACTTTAATAGAGGAAACTACTAATGTGGGAATAACTATAATGCTATGGTTCAAAGAGATCCAGTTCTTTCGTAGAGTTCACCTAGTGGGAGTCTGAACTCATGGCAGCAAAATAATCCTAGACCCCAGGGTCAGGGACCACCAGGTTTTCAGAACCAGCAGAGGCAGCAATACCAGCCACAACAACCAAATCAGTCTAGTATGGAAGATCTCATGAAGGCATTCATCAACAAAACAGATGAAACATTCGAGACTCAGGGCACAACTATCCGAAATTTAGAAAGACAAATGGGACAAATTACAAATCTGTTATCTGAGAGGCCTCCTGGGACTCTTCCCTCTGACACTGAAAAGAACCCAAAGGAAATAATCAAAGTTGTATCTCTGAGAAGTGGCAAAACATTGGCTGACCCAGTGGTGAAAGCTAGACCCGAGGTGGTGAGCAAACAGACTGAGACACCAGTAGAGAAAAAGAGTGAAGAGAAAAAAGGCCAGAGTAGTGGGGTGCAAAAAGAGATTAAAGAAAGTAGACATATGGCAGCTCTACCATTCCCTCAAAATATGAGGCGGGAGAAACTTGACAAATATTTTACGCGATTCTTGGAGATGCTTAAGCAACTTTATGTGAACATTCCCTTCACAGAGGTACTCACTCAAATGCCTGCTTATGCAAAGTTCTTGAAGGAAATCTTGTCTAGCAAGAGAAAATTAGAGGAAACAACATTGGTCAAGCTAAATGCCCACTGCAGTGCCATATTACAAAATAAAATTCCCCCAAAGTGTGGGGGGGCCCAGGAAGCTTCACCATACTATGCTCGTTGGGAGTGAAAACTTCGACAAGGCCCTCTATGATTCTGGGGCGTCTATAAATCTAATGCCTTTGTCTGTATTCAGGAAACTGGAAGATGAGCTTGGAGTCATCAAATTAATACCAGTATCCCTACAACTGGCTGACCAAACCACCATTCTACCTGAGGGAATTATTGAATATATTCTAGTACGGGTGGACACGTATTTGTTCCCCGTAGACTTTATTGTGGTGGATATGGAGGTGAACAAAGAGGTGCCTTTAGTTCTAGGGAGGCCATTTTTATGTACAGGTAGAGCTATCCTTGATATTTGTGAGGGGCAGCTAATGCTCAGAGTGGGCAATAAAAAAGTGGTGTTCCAGATGAAGAGGATGATGAAATACCCCAGTGATAAGGTGTCCGCCTACTCGTGTTTCAAGCTTGATGTTGTTGGGGAATTGGCTGAAAAATACAAGTTTGACAAGATTGTGGGGATACTCTAGAGAGGTGTATTACTTAGTCTAGAACAGTGGAGGATGAAGATCCAGAAATAAAGAAAGAGGCTGAAGCTCTTGAAACTGAGGATCAAGTGCTTGATGAGGAGGAACTAAAAGAGGAGGCTTCTAAGCCTAATGTGAAATTAAAAGTCCTCCCCACTCACTTAAAATATGCTTTTCTTGAAACTAATAATTTTCCTATGATTATTTCTGCTGACTTGACAGGTACATAGGAGAAAAAACTGGTGGAGCTACTGAAAAAGCATAAGAAGGCCATTGGCTGGGGGCATAATTGATATTCAAGGAATCAGTCCAACCATCTGCATGCACAAAATTCTGTTGGAAGAAAATAGCAAGCCAGTGGTGCAGCCCCAACGCAAGTTGAACAAAACTTTGGAAGAGGTAGTGCAGAAGGAGATCATCAAATTGCTAGATGCGGGAGTGATTTTCCCCATCTCTGATAGCCAGTGGGTAAGTCCAGTGCAAGTTGTACCTAAGAAGGGAAGCATGACAGTGGTGAAAAATGAAGACAATGAGTTGATCACCACAAGAACAGTCACCGGGTGGAGAATGTGCATTGATTATAGACGGCTGAGTGATGCAACAAGGAAAGACCACTTCCCACTCACTTTTATTGATCAAATGCTCGAGAAAGTGTCTGGACATGGATGCAACTGCTTCTTGGATGGGTAATCAGGCTACAATCAGATACCCATTGCCCCTGAAGATGTTGAGAAGACCACATTCACTTGCCCGTCAGGTATTTTTTCTTACATGAGGATGTCATTTGGGTTGTGTAATGCACCTATCTTTTTTCAGAGGTGCATGCTGTCTATATTCTCTGATTTAAATGGGAAGTGTCTAGAGATGTTCATGTATGATTTCACCCTCTTTGGTGATGAATTTGAGGATTTCTTGATGAATTTGAAGCTCGTGCTTAAACATTGTAAAGCCGCTCACTTGGTTCTTAACTGGGAGAAGTGTCACTTCATGGTGAAGGAGGGAATTTTCCTATGCCACAAATTAACTACACATGGACTTAAAGTTGACAGAGCTAAGGTTGATGTAAAATCTAGGCTCCCTCCACCAACTTTTGTGAAGAGCATAAGAAGTTTCTTGGGACATGCTGGGTTCTATAGGAGGTTCATCAAAACATTTTCCAGCATTACCAAGCCGTTGACCGCATTGCTAGCAAAAGATATCAAGTTTGTTTTCAATATGGAGTGCTTAAGAGCATTCGAATTGATAAAGGAAAAGCTTGTGAGTGCTCCTATTATGGTGACACCAGATTGGAGCCAACCATTTGAGATAATTTGTGATGCTAGTGATGTAGTTGTGGGAGCAGTTCTGGGGCAAAGAAAAGATAAAATGTTTAGGCCCATCTACTATGCAAGCAGGACGCTGAATGATGATCAAGTGAGCTATGCCACTACTGAGAAAGAGTTCTTTGCTGTGGTCTTTACTTTTGACAAGTTTAGATCATACCTTGTGGGGAGTAAAGTGATTGTACACACTGATCACTCAGCCTTGAAATACCTGTTAAGTAAGAAAAAGTCCTAGCCGTGTCTGATGTGGTGGGTATTATTGCTCCAAGAGTTTTACTTGGAGATTAAAGATAAGAAGGGCACAGAAAATCAAGTCGTAGATCATCTATCTCAACTTGAGAAACCTCCGATTGAAACAGTTGAAATAAGGGAAGAGTTCCCTGATGAGAAAATTTTCTCCATAGCTGCAGTCTCCGAAAGGCCGCCTTGGTATGCTGATGTAGCCAACTATTTGGCTAGTGGATGGTTGCCTCGTGACCTCACTTGTGATCAAAGACGAAAGCTTCAAGGTGAGGTAAAAAGTTATTTTTGGAATGACCCTTTCTTGTTTAAACTGTGTGCAGATGGTGTGATTGAAAGATGTGTGCCTGAAGGAGAGATGGCAAGCGTTATGTCTCATTGCCATGATGAAGCAGCTAGAGGACACTATGGTGGAAATTGCACTACAACAAAGGTCATGGAAGCAAGTTTCTTTTGGCCTACTTTATACAAAGATGCAAGAGCGTATGTAGCTGCATGTGACAAGTGTCAGAGGGCAAGTAATATTAGCAAGAGAGACGAAATGCATCTCAACTCTATTCTGGTATGTGAAATTTTTGACGTTTGGGGTGACTTCATGGGTCTATTCCCAACGTCGCATTCTCATGAGTATATCCTAGTAGCCGTTGACTACGTCTCTAAATGGGTCGAAGCAATCCCTACTAGGACCAATGATGCTCGGGTGGTGTGTGAGTTCTTACGGAAGAACATCTTTACCCGCTTTGGGACACCTCGAGTGATTATCAGTGACAATGGGTCACACTTTGTGAACAAGCAGTTTGTTGCATTGATGTCCAAGTATGGGGTCACACACAAAATAGGAACCCCACACCATGCCCAAACTAGTGTGTAAGTTGAAGTGGCTAACCAGGAACTTAAACGAATTCTTGAAACGATGGTTAGTGCTTCTCATAAGGATTGGTCTGTAAAGTTGGATGAATCTCTATGGGCGTACAGAACTGCGTTCAACACAACTATAAGGACTTCACCATTCAAATTAGTGTATGTAAAATCATGTCATCTACTTGTTGAGATAGAACATAAAGCTTATTGGTCAATTAAGATGCTTAATCTTGATCTTAGTCTTGTAGGTGAACATAGGTTGGCGCAGATAAATAAATTGGACGAGTTTAGACTGGACGCGTATGAAAATGCACGAATTTTCAAGGAAAAGACAAAAAGGTGGCACGATCGTATGATTACGCCAAAGGAGTTTCATGACAATAGCAGACTTAAGTTGTTCCCAGGAAAATTCCAATCAAAATGGACAAGTCCGTATGTGGTAAAACATGTCTCACCGTACGTCGCCGTTGAAATTCTGGATGAAGAAGGGAATGAAATCTTTAATGTGAATGGGCACAGGTTGAAATCGTACCTTGTTGGAGGATTTGACAAGCAATCCACTAGAATCGTGATAAAATGAGCCTAAGTGATGGAGTCAAGCTGACGACTATAACTCAGAACTACTTCTAACCCTTTTTCTTGCTTTTTAGAATAGTTTAGATAATTGTAGTTTAGGATTATTAGAGTTTAGGAGTTGTGGTGCTTGTTTGGGTAGGTATAAGCATGAGTTGGACATAAAATAAGTACATAATAGAATCGGGGTGCAACCCGTGAGCTAAATATCAAAAACGAGGCAAACTCTGTGAAAATTGGCCTAGCGCACCACGTAAGGCACCCTGCCGTGCACCGCGCCATGCCAAATGGCTCTCTAACAAAAACAATCCTGCCTCTGATAAGATCCACTACTGCGCGGCGTGGGGCGCCGCACGCCGCGACGCGGTAGTTCAATTTTGTAGTTTTAATTTATATAAAAAAAATTGAAATTAAAAATAAAACGCCGAGACCCCCCTTTTTTCTCCTTCCACAGACCCCCCCCCCCCAATTCTCTCTCACATATCTCTCCTCTCTAACTCTCCTCCAATTCCCCCATTGTTCTTCTTCTCAAATTACTTCCACACACACCTCCAATCCCTCCTATCCATCTTCAAGGTAAGTCTTCCTCTCATCTCATCTCTTTTCTTCTAGTAGTTGCTTGTAGTATTTAAGTAGTTTTATTTTATTTTAAACCAAACCCTAGGTAGATGTAGTTGTGTTAATGTTCTTTGCCTATTATGGCCGAAAATGATGCTTAACTTGTGGGGCTTTCATTGTTCTTATGATTGTGGAAGATTTTTGGTATGTCTTGGTGCTTATTGAATAAATATATGGTAAAGTATGGCGGATGTGCCTTTATGTCTGAAAATAGGAGGAAAGTTTGTGCAAATTTAGAGTACTTTGTGCCATTGTTGCATTGTGGTGGTGTTGTGCTTATTGTAGGGTGGTTGATTGGTATGTTGGGTAGTAATCTTAGATTAATGGAAGTTTAAATTATGAGGTAAATTTGGTGACTACCATATGCTTGATGAAATGCCTAAGTGACATAGAAGATGACATTGTAGCTTAACTGGATGCTAATTGTTATGAGATAATGTGATGTTATATGATAAGTGTGGGGTGGGAGGTCATGTTTTTATGTTGTGAAATCTTAACGTTTTAGCCCGAGTGCTAATCGATTGGCCACCCCATGTTAATGTATTGCTAGGTGCTAATTCGAATGTCCGATTTATGCGATATGCTTGTGTAGTGTTGTATTTTAACTTCTGCATTTTGTTTGTACTGAATTAGTATAACTTCTTATTTTTCTTTTCTTAGTTACTAGTTAGCTTCTTGATTTTGTATTTTACATTAGTATAGTCCGTGGTTATGTTGTTATAATATTATGTTGATGGTTAGGTGGGCTGTTGATTGCTTGTGGCATGCTTCCAATGGGGTAGTCTGAGTCCCCGATATATATTGTACTTGTGAACATTCCAATAACATAAGTGTGGGGTGGTTACCCCGTTTGGCCTTGTTTTGTTTTACGTGTTGTGGCTAATATTGTTCGTCTTGTGTAGGTACAATGTCTTCTGAGGTTGCCTCTAGTAGCCGTCGAGGAGGTAGGTGGGCGCCTCCCCCGCCCTAATGGAGGAGGAAGAGGAGCGCATTAATCCAGATGCGGATGTAGTACCATAGTGCAAATTTGGTATTCGGGTTATCCCAGCCCATGCTAGACATTGGTTCCAGATGTTTGTCCCTGCGGTGAACCCAGAGCCTGAGGTTGCTATTGGCGATAGGAAGTTGGCCCGAAAATATAATGAGATATACAACAACATTCGGGCTTTGGGTTTTGACTGTCTGTTCCGTCCAGGTGATGCGGTGAACGTGAACCTGGTAAAGGAATTTTATTCCAACTGGCAACCTGAGGCCAGCCTGGATGCTGTGTATGAAGTATGGGTATGAGGTAAAGTGATTCCATTCTCCTCCCAAGTGATCAATCGGACTATGGGTTTCACAGAGCATTCCCACAAGTTCTTTCAAAGGTTTCTCCGTCGGCCAGACTATCCGGATATCCGCCGATAGCTATGTGGCGGTGACTCTTCTGCTGCATGGACACAGGATATGAATGAATTCCACAAGGACATGAAGAAGGGAACATTCCATTGTCTGGCTAAGGTTATTTTGCGATTAATCAATGCCAAAATCATGCCCACCCAAAGTGAATCTGATGTCTTACGGCTGAAAGTGTATTTGATCTATGCCTGGTGAGAGTGCGAACACTAGGGGCCTGCCGCCTATTCTACCCGAGTATGATCAGTCAGTTGTTGCAGGCGCACCATATAGAGGAGGAGTTTCACTATGACCGGACCATCCCCGTGACATATCCTATCAAGGCCTTTGATATCACGGTAGTAATAGATCCTCCTGCTGCTGCTGCTAATGTCACTTCGGACCAGAGACTGGTCCGTGTTGGGGAAACACTGCAGCTGCTGTTTGCTAATTTGAGCCTTCGCTTTGCTCGGGGGGAGACTGATTTGGCGGAGCTGCAGCAGGACCACCCCCTTTCTGCTGTCACTCAGTAGTGGTTGGGATCTGTGGGGGGAGGACAGCTGCCACCAGATAAGGATATGAACTCCGTTCCCTCCTATTATGAGGAGTATTTGCGCACCTTTGAGGGTGCTGATGATTAGGCCAAGGGCCTCAGGGAGTCACCTTTTCACTCTTGTTTTACTATTTTTCATTGGGGACAATAAAATTTCATGAGTGTGGGCTGGGGTGCTCCTATTTGATTGTATTTGTTTTTGTATTTGTTTTCTATTTGCCAGTTGGTTTTGTTTGATTTGTTTCTTGCTTTAGTAGACAATATGGTGTGTAAATTATAATTCTGAATTCTATCGGCCTGTAATAGTTAGTAATTAATTATTTAGTTTCGACTCTTCCCGACGATGGATTTTGTCGACTGACTTCTTGAGGGATTTGAAGTCGAACGAGAAAAATACAAACAAAAAAAAAAATTGAAAATCCAAAAATATGTCTTTTATTTTATTCTATTCTATTTTACTTTCTTAGGTAGTGTAGTAATTCCCCCTTGGTTTTTCTTTGTGTCGCGGTTCTTTTTCAAGGGTTTTACTTAAACCGGGTGTAGTTAGTTTTTTTATTTTTGTTTTATAGGAATAAAGAATCTTGAGTCACACTGCTAATTTGAAGCAATTTTCCTTGACTGCATATGCCTTGAGAGTGGTAAGTTCCTTAGTCGTGACGCCTAGGCACAGTTCTTGACTCTTAGATAAGTGCCTTAAATTGCTTGATTGTAACTCTGCTTAACTGCTTTGACTAGAGAGTCGGGAAAGATCCGATCCTAAGTGAGTTATGTGCCAATGTATGGGTGAGGTTTTTGTTGATAATCTGTGCATGTCAGTTGATGTCTAGAACTTGCCTTGTGTGTTTGCAAAGAGAAATAACAGTTTTGTTCAGTTTAGGAAGTGATATAGGCATTTCTTTGTTGAGCCAGATATATGCTTTTGCCCACCTAATTAATGGTTATCTTAGTTAGCTCTTTTGAGCCTGTAATCCTATTTCTTTGGCAATCACACTATAAGCTTGACCCCTTTGTTTGAATTGTCTAGCTGTTTGAACCTTTTACCTCTTTTGAGTACTTGAATTTGGTATGAGCTTGTTAAAAACTACAAGGAGGTATAATTAGGTTTTGAGTGGAACTATAGAAAAGGCGAAAGGTGCACTGTTGTGAGAGCTACTTGTAGAGAATTGAGAAAACAAGAAGAGAAAATCAGAATCTAGAAAAAGAAAAATTGTTGATGTTTGTATATATTATAAAGAAAAATTATTCCTTACTAGTGGTAAATTTTGCTTTGTCTGTGCTTAAAGAAATTGTGAGCTTGATGTCAATATGATGTGAAGGTTGGGATTTGGTTCAATACAAGTGTGAGGTTTAAATTGTGAAATTGTAAGTATTAAAGTGCTCAGGGAGGTGTATCCACTATATCCATATGTATCCTACCCGCCCCGCAGCCTACATTACAACCAAAATAATGTCCTATTTGATCCTTGACTGAATGAGCTCAATTAGTAGAGTATTACACTACGGGCAAGCTTATGGTACATTCTCTATGGCACATGAATTTTATTTCTGAGAGTGAGTGAATTCTTTCTATCTTGAGTTCCTATTTGTTCTTGAATTTGACTATGTAGGGAACTACTCTCTATTGTTTGTGTGAGGGCACATAACTTATGAAGGTAAGATAAAGTCTTTGACCTCTGTGTTAGAGTAAGTGAACATGTTGTGAAAAACGCATGGTGCTTTTGAGTCGAGTCTTGAGGTTAGGATGTTATGACATGGTGTTTAGTCTATTTTAAATAATCTTGGCATGGTGTGTTAGGGAGGTTGTTTGATGGAAAGGTCGTCCCTATATGAAGTGTAGTTTGATTGCTCGAGGAAGAGCAATGGTCTAAGTGTGGGGTGGTAATAGTCTAAGGCTAGAAACTCGTGTTTTAGCCGTAGTATTGCACTCTAATTACTGCATTTTACGTGTGTTTGAGCTTAAATGATAGTGAATTATATTTATTACGTGTTTTATGCCTTGCGGGAAGTGATTCCGAGCTAACAAATTAATTTGGAGCTGAATCGATCAATTTGGAGCTTTGAAGTCTGAGTAAAAGCCCAATAAATTAAGCCGAGATCGTGTTCGGGGGTCGTGTACCAAGTCTGGATGTCAAAAGAGGATGAAACACTTTCAATCTGAGAAAATGACACTGCCGCGCTGCATGGGGCGCCGCAGTGCGCGATGTGGCAGTGAAAAACTTGCCTGACAAGAAAAATACATGCCCGCTGATAATCTCCATAGGCGCGGCACGGCGTGCAGCACGGGGCGTGGCGCGGCACAGATGTACAAAAATAGCGGAGTAGTTTCCAACTTCAGCTTGGAAAGAGTAGCTTCGTCCGTGTTTGTTTCTACATGGTATAAATACACCAAAAACATAATTTTTATGGGACTTTTGACCTACAAAAGATTGGAGAACCAACCAAGGCAAGAAGACTCTAGAATT